CTCAGGGCCAATGTTCCTCATCAAAAAAATGGAAAAAAAAGTGACTGGGGGTGGGGAAGGCTCAGCAAGAGAAAAGAGAAAGTTAGAAAGGAAGCTTAGTAGAATCTCAGAAACCATTTCCGAAGCTGTGAATAATATGTTAAGAGGATCATCTCTCTCTTTAGTAGGCTCATTTCTTCTAAAGCTCAGTTAATGTTCAGTATGTTTTATCAGATTATATGGCAGGTTACCTAGAATTATACTATGAACTAATCAACATAAAAATCTAAACAAATTAGTTTAACTCTTTTCTCTATTGGAATTTGAAAATTTGCTAGGCTGGTTTATACTGGATAGAACTGCATTTAATTCAGATTATAGTCATTTCTTGTTGAGAGTATGTCCTCAGGCTGTTGGCTTTGGCTAGTTAACTCTTCTTGTCTGTCATCAATTCCAAAACTCTTCGGATTTTTTCTGATCAACTCTGATGTTTGCATATAGAATTTCTGGCAGATTCAAGTATTAAGAACTAGTTTCCATATAAAACAGACTGTGCCTCCACTTATTCAACTAAGGAATTAGTTTGGATGGATTATTTCAACGAGGAACTTTTAGTTACACTAAGATAAATTTCTGATATTGAGAAAAGAATGAGACATATACAGTAGTGCCTCACATGCCACAGGAAGCTAGGACTGCCATTAGTGGGCATTTCCTTTATCACCTTAGTAACAGATACGTGATTGTGGTAAGCAACCTCTAAAATGGCCCTCCTAACAATTCACATATCTCCCAGTTTTCACCACCTCATATAATTTCCTCCTCTTGAGTATGGGCTGGACATATTGACTTGCTTCAAATGAACAGAAAATGACAGAAGTGATAGGATTAGGTTACAAAAAGACTGTGTCTTCAATGTCTCTCTAATGTGAGGCAGCCCTGTGGAGAAGCCCAAATGGCAAGAGATTGAGGCCAGCCAACAAACACATGAGTAAGCTTGGGAGCAGAATCCATTTTCACATGGAGTATTCAGATGAGACAGCAGCCTCAGTCTACAGAGAAGAGCTTGTTTGAGAGCAAATGAAAGACCTTTAGCCAAAAGAACTTGGCTAAGCTGTGCCTAGATTCCTATCCCACAATATATTTATTACCTGTAAGGTAATAAGTGTTTGTTATTTAAAGTTACTAAATTTGGAAGTAATTTGTTATGCAGAAAGCATAATACAATACATAATACAACATTCAACTTAGTAATAACAAGTCATGATCATTTATCCATTCATTTATTTTGTCAACATTCGATAAATATCCCCTTTGTATCAAGACTGCACTAGGCTCTGAGAAGACCTCAGATGGGGTTGGATAGTGTCCCACAGACCAGAAAGGTAAGTGGAAAAGCTCCCTGGGAAAAATGGCATCATAAATGAAGGCTCTAGAGGTAGGAAAGTAATACCAAATTTGAGAAACTGAAAGAAGCAGAGCTGGCCTGAAGAGTGCACAATGTGGAGATGCAGGGTTATTTGGCAAAAGTACCAGTTAAGAGGATAGACTTTGGTTTCACATGAATGCAAATTCATCTCCACTGTTCCCTGTTCTGCCACTTCATAGCAATGTTAAAAATGACAAGTTAGACATCACCCCTGTGCCTCAGTTGTCATCTGGAAAACAAGGATAATAGTAACTATTTCAGAAGGTTGCTAAGAACATATGCTATGGTACCTAGTACAAAATAGGTGTGAAAATTGTTGCCTATTATTGTTGCTGTTTTTGTTATTTTTATTAGCAGTATTGGTAATGTGAGAGATCTTATAAGACATGGCAAGGAATTTTTATATTAATTTAGGAGCAATGGAAAGTCAAGAAACAGATGTAAGTGGGAAGTAATGTGATAAGACAGACATTTTAAAAGTGATCATGCTAACAGTCACATGAATGAATGTGAGAGGGGCAAGACTGGAGCCTGGAGGTCAGTTAGCAGACTGTCGTGATAATCCAGAGAAGAGCTGGGGTGCGTAGGATAGTGGCAGTGGTGATGAAGAGAAAAGGACACAGGTGAGGAATATTGAGGGGTAGAATTCAAATGTTATGGAATTTGATTTGCTTTAAGAGTGAGATAGAGGGGCTGGCCCCATGGCCTAGTGGTTAGGTTTGTGCATTCTGCTTCAGTGGCCCAGGGTTTTGCTGGTTTAGATCCTGGGAGCAGACATGGCACCACTCATCAGGCCATGTTGAGGCGGCATCCACATAGCACAACCAAAAGGACCTACAACTAGAATATACAACGGTGTACTGGGGGACTTTGGGGAGAAGAAGAAGAAGAAACAAAAGAAAAAGAGTGAGACAGAGAACGAGTCAAAGATTACACCAGGTTTAGAGAATTAGGTAGATAATATACATGTTCAGAGATTGAAACCCTAGCAGATGGAGAAGGAATGAGTGGAGCAAGACTTTGTGAATGTGAAATATTATTGATATTTAAGCGTGATACTGTGAGGAACTTCTGATTGAACATACAGATCTGAAATGCAGGATACCGAATAATTAAACACAGGGCTAGAGAATAAATTTTGTCTCTAGCAAATAGAGGATACAAGAAGCCATCAGTATGGTTTTTTAAAGAAATCCACTTATCTATTACAGAAACCTAAAAATTATCCACAGAATCCTGCAAAAGAAACTAAGAAGAGGAAGCCAAAAATGAAAATGGATGATCAGAAAAACAAGATGGATCCACGAACTGAGATTCCGTCTAGAAAAAAGACAAGAGAGTCAAATGTTACAATAAATCAAGGTAAGGACTGAAATGTCTTGTGAATTTCCCATAGGGCAGTCACTGAGGACCTCACTGAGAGCAGGTCCTATGGAGGATTGGGGTGGAAGTCAGAATGGAATGGATTAAGGAATGAGAAGGTAAATTATTCTAAAGAAGTATGGCTACAGAATAACCTTGGGTTAAGAGAGGATTATTCATTTTGTTTTAAAGGAAGGAACTTGAACATGTTGGAATGTTGATGGGAGTTGGGGGCGGGGGGAGGAGAACTAGATCTCAGGAGAGAGAACAGTCCTAATGACTGATTAATTGAGTAATAGTCTTAAAGACTGAGTAAAGGCTTAGAGAAGCGAAAAGTTAGACCAATACACAGATGGAGTTTTACCAAGCGGGTGCATTTGAAGGACAAAGGAATTGAAGATATTGATAGAAGATCCATGATCCACTGAAGTGATGGATCATGGAATCTACGTTGGGTAAGAAAGGATGTAAAACAAAAGCTAGCTGAAGGAGAGAGAGAAGAGAGGGGGCCGGCCCGGAGTTTCATATAAAATTGAAATATGGCAGTAGGAGTAATTTAGTAAAAGATATGGGATGACAAAATATTGTGGTCAGAATACAAGGAATAGCCTTAGAATTTATTTTTCAGTACAGTTAAGATGATGGCAATATCCAGACTGGGCCCAATGGGTAGATAAATGAAGTGCACTGAAAATAAAGGTCACAGGAAATAAGGATAAGGACCTGAGAGGCCAGGGGCTAAATAAATCACATAGGTTAGTAATGTACCATCGTGTATATGCCTAAATCCCATATCATTTCATCACTAAACATATACAGGAAAAGAAACAACAGAAAGTGAATATCATAACAATTGTAACCAAAAGGATTCCTTGCAGGGTCTAATACTAGAAAGACTAATCAAGGAATTAGTCACACAGAATCCAACAGCTGGGTGTTTAACTATAGTATAAAATCCCAGCTCTCTAAACTTAGGTTTGGGTTGATAACCAGGGTTCCAATAATATTCTTTCAGGGTCCCATCTTATTGGCTTGTGCATTGATTGGATAAAGAATGAAAGAGATTATCCAAGAGTAAAAGACTATTTTTGAGGCAAAAGGGTGCTTCAGTTGGTGAGGCAGTGGGAGGTTACCTACAGTGAAATATTCTGCAAGTGCAGCAGTGAAATTGGGGCAGAGAACTTAGGAATAGATTTTCAACAGGTGGACTTGAGATAGAAACTAGAGAACAAGGTGATAAAATTTCCAAGGATACAGAGGGAAGTCAAGGGATAAAAGCAACACAGAGGAGAAGATTGTAGTATGACCTTTACAGCTAAGAGACAGCTGAGATGGCTGTCATTTTCTTTCCAGCTTTGGGTTGTTGCTCCAAATACTACTGGTAGAATTTGGCACTGACTGCCTTCTGGGGCATACCTGGGGCAGTTTGTTAAAACCTTAGATTCTAGAGCTTATCCTAGACTCTGGTTCACTAAATTTTTACGTATTCCAGGAAGGTACGTTTTTAGCAGTTCATGTATCTAATATAGGACTAAAGTTTGGGAACTCGATTATCTACTACTTAATATCTTCACACCTTTGTCTCAACTCATCATTGACAGGTCAAACATTATAGATCATGTTCATCAAAAACTTACTACATGCCAGATGCTTTTCTAGGCACTTTAAATGTATTTATTCAACCCTCCCAACAACTTTACAGTGTGGATGTTATTACATTTTCAATTTAAGATAATGAAATTAGGCAATAAAGCCAATATCTGAGCACAGGCAGGCGGATAGCAAAGCCTGTTCTCTTTCTAACTGTGCTATCATGATAAAATCTGCTAACTAAAATGAACTTTTTCCTTCTGCTTTAACTAGAATTTAATCACGTATATTGTTAAAAAAAAAAAATTCATCACATGTTCACCATAAGCTCTGATTGGTGGTTATACATTTTAATGAAAACAGGGAAATTAATTAAAATTTAATAAAATCAGTTTGGCAAACAAAACATTTCAGAATACAAAGTTGTCATAAAAATAAATAATAGAAGTCCTCAGTGGTAAAGGTTGTAAATAATTCCTATAGACTTCCTCACGCTTATTCCTACTTCTTCCATTTCCTTAGCCCTAATATTAGATATGAGGTTAACTAGGAAGTTGTTCAGTTCAAAAAATAAGGGAGAGAGAAAAGAGATATACATTCACCTCTTCAATATCATGAAACTTGATCTTTGAATACTCACATTTAATTCTTTTTTTAGCATTTCTTCAAGACAACGACCTACATGCTCTTCATCTTCTTTTGCATCCATAAGTATGCAAATCTGTTGTGAAATTCTTTCTGAGATAAAAAGGAAAAATTGTTAAGTTTCACACAGAATATGAAACAAAGCCCTCGTATGCTGAAACCTATGCTTACCTGCAGTTCCTGACTGTTGAACAATGGGGAGGTTTTGCCTTTGGGCCAAGTGGCGTTACTTGGACTACACACTGAGATGTCCTTTACTCTTCTTACCACCCAAGTCAATAAGATGTATTTAACACTTTGTTCATGCAAAACCAGGGCATTGTGCAAGCAACAGAAAGAAGAGATCTCAGGATACACTTGAAAGGAAGTAACTGGAAGAGGCAGTTATTTGGCGTGCCGACTCAATCCTTCCACGTTTATAAGGAGTCTCCCAGAACTGGATAGAATCCTACCTCCCAGGCAGATCCTCCCTTTAGGCTATGAGATTATCTCCTGTGTGCAGCTCACTGTGCCCCCTAGTGCCCTGGCTAAGTACAGCATTTTCCTTGGCATTCCTCTAGATTTAGCCAATTCAAAGGAATAGTTTCTTCCTGTTTAGCTATTACCAGAACAAGTCCAAACAGCCAAATGGATTTTCTTCAAATTTGGAAGACTTATTTGATGTGACCTGGTTTAAGAACAGAAGCTGTATGACATAGTGATATTCACCCCTGGAAACCCCGGAAACTGCACTCTCTCAAAAGATCTACAGTTCTCCTCTACAGTAGGCAGATCTGAAATACTAAGAAATGGCTATATTGCTGCCAACTAAGGAGACATTGCATGGTATTACGACACAGAGAGAGAAAACAGACTAATTTCAAACAGGAGTCCCAAATCAAAAGTTAGTTTGATTAATATTTAACCCAGCTGCTTCTTACATGGGCAACTCCATAAAACATGCTCTATATAACCACTGATCTAGCAATAGTTAATGATTCTTCCACGCAAAGCTGGGGATAACAGACCATTTAAAATAATAACATGACCACTTAGTAGTACTCTTATTACTAACCACCTCCCTCTTATCAAGAACATTGAACATTCCAGGAGCTACATGCTATATTAATGCCAATCCTCATGATGATCCTGCAAACATTCTGAATCCATATATCAGATTCAGGAAACCTGACTTCAGAGAAATAAAGTAACTTGCCCTAGATCACAGGGTTATAAGTAGTATAAAAAGGATTTAAATCCAAAGAAATTAGGCTTACAAACCCACAGCTATTCTACAGCACTAAAATATAAAGAGAGGGAAAAGACATCTAACATTTACTGAACATCAGGCATTTTCACACGAAAGGTCCTAATGTCTTCATACTCATCATCTCATTTAATGACTTGAAATAAATATGTGTTACTAGTTAAGTTTTATAATTCCTGTTTTTAATCACAAGGGTAATTCAGGTCTTCCCATAGTTCCTGCCTTTTCTATCATGCTTTCTACTTTGTAACAATTTCTGTAAAAGAATGTGACACATTCTTCATTCATTTGTATGCTACAAATTCAAGAAAACTACATATATATAACCATAGGAACTCAAACGCATTGAGAGGACACCTCTGTTCTTGGATGCAGATCTGCTCCGACTGGTTATATTACCTTAAAATTACTTCATCTCTTTAGGACTCTCTTCACTCATCTGTAAGGTTCCTACCAACTTTAAAGTGCCTATAATTCTAAGTTACATGATCCTTATAAAATTAAATTTAATTAAGAACATAAATGAATGGTCCAGATAGTAAGTGCTATGGAATATCATTGTGGTGAGAGAGAAAAATAGATTGACAATATCAGATAAATCTTTATAATGAAAGTGAGTTAGGAGCTCACTCTTGAAAGGTGAATAGGTTTTGCTTAGGAATGGAAGCAGGGGGCTTTGAAAGTAATTAAGAGGAATAAGATAAAAACATTTTTTTAATGTATTGAGGTAGGAAGAGTATGGGCATAAGCTTAATATGACAAGAGACAAGTACTCGAAAGCCATGGGATGATTTAGTAGTGAACTATAAAATGGGACATTCAGTAAATCAGATCATAGAAGTCCCATGCTGTCTTAGATACTAGAAGGTCCTGAAAGCTTTAGATTGGAAGATAATTATCATATAAAGCAGCAGGTTGAAAACTAAGTTAATCCAAACTTACACGTAGTGAAACCAAATGTTTACAGAAATTTTTGGACTAGCAAAAATCCAGACAGTTGTATTTCCAAATGCTTCTCACACAAGAAAAACAATTAATTAATTAAATGTGTAAATACAAAGTAATTTACTACATATAACAATGTGATGGCACCACGATGACTTTGGCAAATTTATGAAATAATGAGTGAAGAATAATTTTTTAAAGCAAAACAACATTGGCAGATCTTCCCTTCTTTGTTTCATCATATATCCTTTATATAATTCCAAGTTCTATCAAATGTAAATCAACAATAAATTAAAACTGATATATTACTACTCCCCTCCAAAAATGAACTATAAATAAAATGAAGTAATTCAAAAATCTATTTGCATTTATATTATGCTATGTTTCAGCTATTCTAAATAGAAAGCTTTTTTTGTTTGGGAATCTTTGCATTGCCATATACATTTTATAATAAGTTTCCACAAAAGCACTTGCTGAATATTAGACAGAAATGACACCTTTAAGATAGTAAGCCTTCCAAATCATGAACATGATATATTCCCCATTTATTGAGGTCTTCCTTCATTTCTCTCAATGATGTTTTATAGTTTTCAGTGTACAGTCCTTTTGCAGTTTTTGTTATTTATTCCTGTTTGTTGATTCTATTGTAAATTGATATTTTCAGTTTCATTTTCTATTTGTTTTTGATATACAATACATTTAATTTTTTTATACAGTCCTTGTATTCAGTAACCTTGCTAAATTCTCCTATAAATTCTAATGGTTTGTAAATTATTTCAAATTTTCTATATACATAAACATGTTGATTGTGAAGAATAAAGTTTTATTACCTTTTCACTCCACAATTTAATCTGAAAATGCAATCTTTAGAATTTTGCCTCTATATTCATGAGAAAAATTAGCCTGCAATTTTACTTTCTTAAGGGTTCTTATCCAATTTTCATTAAAGAGTTATACTGACTTCATATAATGAGGTGGGAAGTGTTCTCTTTTTCTACTCCAGAAAAGTGTGTAAGAGTGATATTATTTCTTCTTTTAAATGGTTTTGTAGAATTCACTGGTAAAAGCCAACTGCCTCTTTGTGGTAGGGTTTTCAATTAGATTCAATATCTTAAATGGGTAAATGACTTTATACAATAGTGTTTGCCTAAGAATGTGGTCATTTCACCTATATTTTCAAGTCTGTTGGCATAAAGTTTGCCATGGACTGAATGTGTTTTCCCGAAATTCATGTTGAAACCCGAACCATCCACGTGATGGTATTAAGAAGCAAGGTGTTTGAGATAATTAGGTTTAGATTAAGTTATGAGGGTGAAGCCCCCATGATGGAATTAGTGCTTGTTTAAGAAGTGAAAAAGACACTAGAGCTTCTTCTTGTGTCCATGCAAGCACTCATCAAGAGGGCAGCTGTCTGCAAGTCTAGAAGAGAGCCCTCATCTGGAAATTGAATCAGCCAGCATCTTGATCTTGGACTTCCCAGCTTTCAGAATCATGAGAAATAAATTTCTGTTATTCAAGCAATCCAGTCTATGGTCCATATCAATATGACCTTTACTAGTAATAATGATACATTCTCAATCTGTCTATAATCATTCAAAGTCAACAAGGTTCAAAATCATCAATTCTCCAATTCAATGGTTCTCAACCCTGGTTGCACACTAGAATCAACTCTGAGTATCTTTGTGTTTTGCTTTTACATTTTTCAAATACATATGCTTACAACCCACCCAACAAGATTCTCACCTCTATTTTTTGGAGTTCCAAAAGTGATTCTGGTGTTCAGCCATATTGAGAATCTCTGCTTATTCACTGCACTGATTTTCCATAATGTGGACTTTATGAAAGGTTTCTCTCTTTGAAAAATATACAAATTGCCTACTACAGCTAATCCCTCCAAGATAGCATAAATTTTTTGGATATAACTCTTTTGGGATAATTTTGCAGTTTTCTCCAATCTTCACACTGTGGGCAATTGGAGAATGGTAAGTTTACTGAGAAAATATTTGCTACTCATTTCCCTCTGGTGTAAAACTATTAAAGAAACTCAAAGCTACTCATCTCCTACTCTGATGTGCATTGTTTACTAGAAATTACAATTTTACCATTTCTTGCCCAACAGAAGACAAAAAAATGCAATGTTTATTTATCAATTACAGATATAAGGTAGTTTTTAGTCATTCAATATTTTTTAAATTATTGAGACAAATACAATTTCTATAAATTCAATTTAATATGTGGAGAGATTCAAAAAATAATATATTCATACTTTGGGAGTATTTCACATGTATAAAATAGGAAGAGAGGCTAAAAATCAATCTCTATATGAAGCCAAATTTTCCATAAGGAGTTTATAAATATATCCAAAAGAAAGGCAGCAGACATGGAAAGAATAAAAGATCCTATATTATGGGGTTTTAATGACGATTAAATGAGTTAATATTTGTAAAGTTGTATAGAGTGCCAGGTGCAAGGAGATCCCCAACAAATGTTGACAGAATAACTATTGTTGTTGTTATGGTCATATACATTCATTAAGAATATAAATTAAGATTCCTCTTGTCTACTCAAAATACAATCCATCTCTAATTTCTAATGGTCCCGTGTGGTCTCATTTCAAAGTTTGGTAAACAATCCGTATCAACTTTGTCCCACTAAGCTTTCTTTCCAAGTTTCACAGTTTCACTAAATATACAGTAGTTATGTGTAATAATGGAATACACATCTTGAGTAATAAGCAGTGCTATGTTTTCATCACAGAATTCTTTTAAAACTAAAATGGATACCTTTTAGTTCTGATTGTAAATATCTTAGTTTGTTCACTAGATCTAGACTGAAACATCCTGTGTGATTTCTATTAATAATTCCATAAACATACACTGATAATCTTAACAGGGAATGTTAA